GGCATTGCGGTCAGCGGCGTGAGGGCCGGGCAGATGGGGAGGGGGCGCGGGCGCCAGGCGCCGGGCGGGATGCGGCGCGCACCCGATGCTGCCGAACAGGCGCTGCTGGCCATAGCGATCGGAGTTCTTTCCCAGGACCTTGAGCACCACGGTGTCGATGAGGAAGTACACCGGGCTGCCGAAGAACTCGCACGTCAGCACCACGAAGGCCAGCAGGGCGAAGCGCTCGGCCGGGATGAAGGCGATCAGCGTGCGGATGACCGCGCTCAGGACGAAGACCGTCAGCAGCAGCCACCGAGTCCGCCGGGCCCGATCGGCGATGATGGAAAAGAGCGGGGCCCCGGCGAAGAAGACGAACGGCCGCGCGCAGAGGATGATCCCGATCTCCGAGGGGGTGAGCCCGCGCCCGGCGAAGATCACCGACAGGAAGGGCCCGAGTGAGGCGAAGGTGGCTGCCAGGGCCGGGGCGACGGGCCGGCGTTAGTGGCGACGGGGGCGAGCGGGCGCGGCGGCGGCGGCGGGGCGTGTCGGGCGGGCGGCGCACCGGCGACAAAGGTATAGAGGATCTTGAAGACCAGCAAGTCCCGGTCGACCTCGATGGCCTTCAGCCGGCCGAGCAGCGACGACGCCATGGCTGCCGAGGGGGTGGGGGGGGGGGGGGCGAGGGGGCGGGGCATGCCGTTGGGATCTGCATTCGCGCACGCCTCCCTCATTCATTTGCGCGGCGTCCTTGACACAACTCCACACACATGCAAATCGCACTCTCTCTTGCACAAACACCACCACCACCACCACCACCGCACATTCGCCCTCGCGCTCGATGACCGCCTTTGCGTGCTCAAAAAGCGTCCTCACGGTCAGCGAGCCGGGCTCCGGGCGGACTCCGGTACAGATCCGCCGCGACGCGGCGCTCACCATCCTGGGACAGCGTGACCTGGCCAATCCGACGGCAGTTGACATCGCCCGGAGGATACTGAAAATCGGGGAATAGACAGCGAGTTTGTTGGGGATTCGATTACGAGCAACGCATGGCGCCACGCAATTGAGTGGGAACCTGCCCGGGGGAGGCGGTTGGGCGCATGTGATATGCATCCTTGGAGCGTCGGCCATGTTCGCCCGGGCCAATATTTGTGGCTCGCGAGACTTGCCCAGGAGGGGGCAACACGCGAGTGCCAGCAAATCCAACGGGCTGCAACAGTCCTAACACGCCTGCCTGCCGTTGAGGCTGCCTACGCGGGGCGCTGTTTACACGAGCACACACACACATACATACATACATACACACATGCGAACATTTAAGAGTGGTGAGGGGCCGGTGAGGGCCGGGTCCCGAGGCCTGGTCTCAGCAATTGTTTGGGGGTGACAACAGACGAAGGCCAGCGGCCAGTGTCGAGGCACTTCGGTGCCCCGGGCGTGAGGTGACCCTACAAGCGGCAGGCGCAGGGGCAACGGCCTAGCCGAGCCCACGGATCCGTATGCTAATGTTGACAAGTTGATGTCCCTCCTGACTCATGAGGGAATAGGAGCGCCGGCTGGAACATCGGCCCGTGCTCGCTCCAGACCAGATGCCAGATGGGGCAGCGATCTCTCGGGGGGGGGGGGGGGGCAGGGCGGGCCATCCACCTGCCGGCCGGGGAGCGAAATCGACGGAACCGAACGCAACTTTAGCAAGGCATGCACGCCCTTGGAGCCCAGGAGGATCCCCAAAAGATGCTGGGGCGAGACCCCGGTCAACACGGATGATGCCACCACTGGTGAAGCTGTTGCGATTGAGAACCCCAGGGCGCATAGCCTGCCCCCCTTCCCCCGTGGCCTCACGCGACACAACCGCTGCTGTGGCCTGCGGAAGAGGGAGGGAGGAGCACAGAGGCGAAAGTCGAAGAGACCTGCCCGGGGCAGCGCGCTCTCCCCGGGTGGAGGATATCTCGAAACGGTTTAGGGGCTCTCGCCGGGGGCTCCATTGTGGCGCCTCCTGCCTGTCCGGCACCTCGTGCCCCTGTTCCTCCGGAGAGGTGGGGCCGGTTTCGTCGACAGGCTCCGCAAGCAGGAGATTTCTCCGGCAGGGGGCTAAAAGGGAGCTCCGAGAGCCCGGTCACAGAAGCTCACACAGTCGGCTTCCCTCTCGACCCTTGAGAGTGTGACATATTCGGTGGCTCATAGGTATGCCGGTTTCAGCGGCCCCCTCCACCCCCCGGCGTCTCCTTCTCTGCCCTTCTCAGTGTCGGGGCCCGGGGAAGGGCGGGGGAGTCAGGCAGTGCGCGAGACGGGGATGGTCAGAAGCGTCACGCATGCCTCGCTCTCTTTGGCAAGAGCAGCAACCCTCGTACAGGTCCTTACCTTGGTGTGCCATCCCTCGGAGCAGGGGATCACCAGTGACAGGGCACAACTTCCCGGTAAGGCATAGGGGGGAGGGCGAAAGGGCAATAAGTTGAGGCTGCAGTTGGAATGCCATGGATTGGTGCAAGGCAGCCTTTCTTTGGTGTGCGGGGAGGCCCAAAGCGGCGGGGAGGTATATTTAAAATATCACTAGCACACACATATGTCTCCGCGGTATGCCGGATTGCGAGGGAGGCGAGCAGACGGCTCGAGAGGGGAGGAAAGAGGCAACGAGAGGGCGAGAGGGCGAGGGGGCGAGAGAGAGAGAGAGAGAAAGCGAGTATTTGTCTTGCACCATCAGGAGCCCGACGCGTAAGAATGCTGAACAGCCATGGAGCAGGAGTAGGAACGTGCCCCCGGAAAAAAAGGGCCTCCTCCCCGTGGGGAGCGATCGGCTGCCCCGACAAACACCCATCAACAGCCCATGTCAATAACGATGGGTCAAAGAGAGAAAGGGGGGGGGGGCGGGAAACGGAGAGAGAGAGAGAGAGAGAGAGAGAGAGAGAGAGAGAGGGAGGGAGGGAGAGGGCTGAGGGGGCGGACATCGAGACTGCCTAGCCGTGGCCGAGAAATTCGTCGGACTCGCGCTATGTGCGACCGCTTCACGTGTTGTTTTGACCGAATACTCGTCCGATCCAGGAGACCCCTTCGCCTGGTCGGGCGGAGGACCTGCGCCTGGAGGCTGACCGACCATAAACAAGACTGCAGAGGGCCCTGGCGCATCAAGGAGCCCACCGGCCGGGGTATGGATGCTAGTCCAGAAGGAGCCAGCGGGCATGTAGGAGAGGGCGAGACCTTTGGCCGTTCCCGAGGCGGGGGAGTATTGCACGGGGGGGGGGGGAAGGGGCGCCCCATGGCATGAGCTCCCGATGAACGGTGCTCTTGCCCCAAGGATGCACCGATCAAGCTGCGAGGGGGAGAGACTGAGAGAGGGAGAGATATCTCAACGCACGGCCCAACGCCTCTTTGAGTCCCAGATATCTGCCGATGTGGGATAGAGGCTCGAGGAGACAGAGAGATAGAGGGGCCGAGCGAGAGACAACGCCTGAGGACGGGGATTCTCGCGCCGATTCGTTGATTTGTTCGATCCTCCAAGGCACCTAATTCAGGGGGGGTGATGGCCTGCTCCGTCCGATGACCGAAGGGGATCACTCATGGAGGGGAGCATCCCAGATTGAAGGGATTGTGCAGGCTTGGAAGTTGTGCCCGTGGGAGCGGACCCCCGAGCCGACCACGAAAGTGAGACCACTCCCAGCAGGGGCACAAAGGAGGGGCTAGTTGCTCAGCCGTGGGTGGAAAGGCGGGGTTGTATGTGTGTTCGACGGGGAGGGCGGGAGAGAAGGACAGAGAGGGGTGGGGGGGGGGGGGCGGAGGGGGGGAGAACGAGGCAGAGGAGGGACGCCGGGCGGGGCGTCGATGCTGCCCGGGGGCCGTTGGCGATCCCCCCAGGCCAACACTGGAGACTCCCCGGCAGGCATTCATGATAATGACCACCCGTCGAGAATGCCACAGATCTCCTCGGTTTCAACCGACACTGGAAGACGGGGGCGTTGTTTCACAATTTCGCGGGATCCAGCCGGAGCATGCAGTCTCGGACAGCGACCTGGGCGCTTTCTCCGCTGGATCTCGCCCCAACCAAGCGTCCACTCGAGCTCGAGGACCCCTGGACCTTAGAGCGAGAGAGAGAGAGTGTGTGTGTGTGTGTGTGCGTGTGTGTGTGCGTGTGTGTGCGTGTGTGTGTGTGCGTGTATGTGTGTGTGTGTGTGTGCGCGGGAGCAAGCATCCGGGAGCCAGCAAGTAACATGAACGGGTAGAAACATTCGGCGGCCGACGTCTCGGGCGCGCATCTTCCCCGACTAGCTCGCCCTTCGCCCCGGCGGCCTACCTTGAACATGTCCCTGCTCCTGGGCACCTGCCAGGAGGAATTCCTGCACATCCGCCCGCCAGATCCGTGGTCCTTCAGGCCCATTTGCACGCATTCACATGTCCCCGCACAGGGTGCAATGCCCGATCGCATGCCGGCACGAGGCTTCCAACATCTGCCGCGTCTTTGGCCCACCTGCAAGGGCTTGCCAGAGCTCGAAGAGTGGAGGAATACCGGGCGATTGACCGGCCCCCAATGCCGTCCTTCGAAATGCCTCCTCTCGTAGCCCACTCTCTGGGCCCCCATCTCAAGGACACCTCACACGTCCCCAGGCTCGTGGGTGGCCGGGCTCCTTGGCCCTCTACGTGACCATCTGCATGTATAATTTGGAAGGGGTGCTGCCAGGCATTTCTTCCCTACCTGGGTCCTCGTCGCACTCGGCAACAAGCACAAGGCTGGCCGCTTTTTTCAGGGGGCCGATGTGTGCTTTGTGTCCATTCCCGGGTCGAGGGGAGAAGGGGGGCCTCGGCGCGCTTGTCTGTGATCCTTGTGGCCCTCATCTTTCTGGTGCCCGGCCTTATGCTCGCAGGGGGACCGGCTCAACGGTGAGGGGACTCTGTCCTTGCTGCTTTACATCAACAAAGGAGTCCGGTGAGTCGGAGACCCGGCCCTCGACCGCAGATTGCTAGCCAGAGCAACTCTGTGAGCCTGTTGGGTGTTTTTGGCTGGAAGTTCACACTGAGAGCCTGGTGAGCCCTGGGCAGTCCCCGATCTCATCGTGCTTTCTCGCACGGGCTCTCGCTCACACACACATACACATACACTTGGCTCCCCCTGAGACCACGTACCCATCTCTTGGCCACCATCAGCACCATCATCATGTCATCCAGCTGCCTCTCACACTCGAGAGCCGGAATCAGGACCAGGCAACTAGCGGGCCGAGGTAGGGGGGGG